ATCTGATCCTTTAACTTTCAATTGATAATACCCCGAACGAAGATCAATCTTAGAGAATACAGTAGCTCCTCGCAATTGATCAAATAAATCATCAATCCTGGGTAGTGGGTATTTATTCTTGACCGTCATCTTGTTCAATTTCCGATAGTCAATACATAATCTTAGCGACCCATCCTTCTTTTTCACGAACAGAACTGGGGCTCCCCATGGTGAAGTACTATGTCGGATAAATCCTCGATCGAATAATTCTTGCAATTGGACTTTCAACTCTTTAAGTTCCCTTGGAGCCATACGATAAGGTGCCATAGAAATAGGTGACGATCCCGGATAAGTCTCAATCTCGAACTCTACCTCTCTATCAGGAGGTAACCCAGGCAACTCCTCCGGAAAAACATCAGGAAACTCGCTAACTGTACGAATCTCCTCGATCGTGGACAATGCACCCTTGGTGTTCAAAATACAAGCAATGAAGGTCTCATATCCCTTCCGGATCATACGATCAATTTCCATCGCTGAAACTATATTGGAGAGATAGCCGCGACGTTCACCAATTAACACAACGGTCCGGCCATCAAAAGTTTTCAGAGTAGCTCTCTTGTGCTCGCAATCTAGATTTACTTTGTGTTTAGTCAACCAATCCATCCCAAGAATTAGATCGAACTCCTCTAAAGAATTTCTCCATGTACCTCAAGAGGACAATGCCGAAATACTTTATTTACTAATACCGCTTGTCCTACTGGACTCGTAACTGTAATAGTATTTTCAGTGTTCTCAATTGAAATCTGAAGGTTTCGTGATACCGAGCTCGATACATAGGAGTGAGTGGAGCCATTATACGATAATGCAAAGTATGGGATAGAATAACTAGTAAATGTACATTCAATAACCTCCGGTTTATCTATGTTCTCCCGACATCTAGTGGCATAACCCAAAGTTGGCTGTCTAGCCTCAGAAGCTGTTGGCCCTTTATTTTGATGAGGTCGGGCTCTACTTTCTGTCCTGGACGCTGATTCTTGAGTCTTTCCTTGACTACGATCTCTAATTGGGGTCTGTACTGTAATCTGAGAACGCACAGGAGTCTGAGTAGTGGTATGCTCAAACAAAGTTAGCTGAGGTCAATCCCTCCGATAATGACCACTAGATCCACACTGATATCAAAGACCCATCTTCTTACGACACTCTCCTGTGTGTTGTTTACCACAATACTCACAAAGGAGTCCATGATAATACGACGAGAAACCGTCTCGACTGCCAATTAACGATGAGGATGCTGCAGGCCTAAAACGTGTATTGCTTCTCCGAGGGGCCAAAGTACGAGTCCTCTTCCCGGACTGTGCTGATGACTCAATATTAGTCGCTACTATGATCGGTGTAGTCATGCCAATACCTGTGGCAGAAGGCATATTCATTGGGGTCGTAGGAGCAGGATCACCTAACGGAGGTGGGGGATCTACTCGTATCCCATCGATCGGGTCTGCAAATCTAGCCACTCGATCTCGTCCACGGCTAGTTTGACGACCACGTCTAGCACTAATTTCGATTGATCTCAAGTTTACTCCAGAAGATGAAACTTAAGGTTAGATCAGCACTTGAAGTCTCGAACACAGTTAAAAATCTTAATAATTTTGTGACATGGCCTTAGTAACCCGTTTTGTAAAATATTTCAAAACCGTATTTTCAATGTGGACTCATACACAGTCCGAGGGTTAAAAACCAAAAGCTCTGATACCAATAAATGTAACCCCTAGACCCGGCCTATGCGTTTCGACTAAGTCTAGTGGATCACATTATGATTATTAAAGACATTTTTCGAAACCGTTATTCCATCAATATAAAATCACATTATAAATAACATGAAATTATAAACAAATTATGCTATCAAAATCTAACTCGTAAATATAGTACCAATAAATAATAATTTAATTTAAAACACGTCTTCAAATTCAATATCACAATAAACCGAGCAGTATTAGCAAAAGAGTTATCATTATAAAATCCGATATTTTAAAATAAGGTCCATGTCACCAAAATAAAGTCAACTTGCCAGATAAAAACATTATAATTTGATTTACTTCAAGAGATATGTTGATCCTCCAAGTGCTCGAACCAAGGTATCTAACCAACAGTATCTGAAAGGGGAAAACATTTTCAAAAGGTGAGCTAGGCTCAGTGTGTCCCAACATTTCCATAAAATCACCATAGGTACAAATCATAGTCCAGTAATCTCACAATTCGTAAAAGAGTTTAACTTTTTGAAAATCATAGTTTAAACCCTTTTTCTGGTACACCATCAGTAGTTCCCAAAAGTATTTTCCATATAGCTTACTTTATGCACATAGCAAAAAGAAAGCCAACTTAAGGATAGGCTATGAAGCTTGTATCCTTAAGCCCAAGTCAATAAGTCCATATAGCTTACCCTAAGCACACATCAAAGGAAAGCCGACCTAATGAAACATCTTGGGGCCCTCAAGAGTCACATTAGGCCCAGTTAGCTTGATCAGAGCTATTCCATCGTATTTCAATTCCAAAATTCAATTGCACCGTGACATAAATTCCATAAATCCAAAAACATGGTAATCATATACCATTTCAAAACAAAATTAGATAGCAGCCATATTCCATAAATTGTCACATTAAATTGGTGCATCCATAAAACAATAGCCATTGAATTCGGTGTACCACATATTAAAACCAATAAAACAGTTCAATAATAAGTAGGGAACACACCTCGACAATAGGTTCAAATAGCAAATTTACTGATTGCTGGTTTCACCACGCTCTGCTACAATTTTCGAACGGGTGAATACTGGCACACATGGTTTAACTGATCTAGAAGAGCTGGGTCGAGCTTTCGTACGATCCGGAGAGTCTCTTGTACCTTCAAACAATAATATTTATCAGTCTCAAATCCTATTTAATTGTTCAAAGCTAGTCTTCTTAAGTATATAAGCATTTTTCGAGTTTGACTATCAATTTGGGGTATTTCGAGTCTGAATTTGGCCAAACGGATTGCGGAAACGAAATCAAGACGTCGAAAAATATAAAGTATGACTTTTCAGAAATTCAGATTCTTGGTCAAAGTCAAAGTCAACCACTTTGACCGTCGATTTGGAGACCTTCGGGTTTGAATTTGGCGAAACGGACTGTGGAAATGGATTTGGCATGTCGAAAACTATCAGGATAGGTATACTCGGAAAAGATTTACGGTCGTTTAAGGGTCGGTCAAAGCCATTTTAAGTTTTAGTCAAAGAAAGTTAACGGTCAACGGTCGGGTCGGGTCAACGGTCGGGTCGGGTCAACAGTCGGGTCGGGTCAACCCGGTTCAGACCGGTCAAACCGATTCAGACCGGTCAAACCGGTTCGAACCGGTCAAACCGGTTCAAAACTGGTCAAACCGGTTTTCCAGCAGCTCACTCTCCCTGCGGCGGCGCGTGCGGCGCGTTAACAGTGCCACGGTGTCGGAAAATTCCCGAAAAAATTTCTAAAAATTATTTTGAGCGATTTCGAGATACTTACAACGATCGGTTCAAATTTTTGAACGGCGGAGAGCTCGTATTTCAACTCGGCCGAATCTTTGACTGCTCCACCTCCTCACGCGCCGCCGTCGATGGCGAACAAGGTTGACACCGGCGGACTCGCAACGATACAAGGAACACGATGATGCAGGAGGTGTCGTAAACGGAACAACGATCGGCGGTGAATTTAAGTTTTTCCCGGCGATAGAGCTAAAAAAAACGACGATGCTTTGACTGAAAATTCCCGACGTTTGGCAACGTTTCACTTCAATTAATTTGAAGGGTTTGTTACTCGCTTGATGATGAACACAACAGTGGTTTCAATTTTACGATTGGACGTCGAACGGCGTCGGAATCGGACTTGGAAGTAAGGGTACGGAGGAGAAAAACTTAAGCAATTTAACATTTGTGGTTTCTGATTTGAAACCAGAAACACGCTTAAATCACCAAAGCTACCGACACTTTTAGGATAAATTTAGGGTTTGGTCCCTGAATTTCCTTTAACTCTAAAACAAGCTCCAAGTTTTAAAATATTTCAATTTAGTCCAAAAAATTTACTAATTTTCACAATTAACCTCCAATTTCAATTTAATATTATTCTAAATTTTTCCGGGTTGTTACATGGTTTTTCAATGTTCTGTTAGTAACTTTTGTTTTCATTTAATTAAGATATTGTCGCTTTCGTTTTTATTTAATTAAGATATTGTCATTGAGAGTTAACTCGGTAGCTTTTTTTACAGATTACTAACGTGTCACGATGAATATATAAAATTAAAAAGGATAAACTATACAAATAGTTATTTGGTCCCTAGAACATCAAATAGTTTTTTATAATTTTTCTATTAATGGGCGGTGTGGAGTAAGGGATGAAGAAATTGTTTATGGGGACATATATAGGGATGGGCATGGGTTTTATTTTTGATCAACTTGATCCGATCCAAAAAGATATACCATCCACCCAAAACTTGAACTAATCCGAGTTTAGGAATGACTTCAACCGACCGGAACCCAACCTTAAATAAATATATTTATAAAAATATTATTTTATTCAAAAAAATATGGATCTAATTGAAAAAAATAATATATAAAGGGTTATTATTGTAAATATATATATAATATAAATTTACATTAATTTTTGGGTTACGTCAAGTATTTTTTATTCTAAACTCAAATAATGATCTAACATAAACATATTTTCTAAAAAATTATTCCGACCCAATCGACAATTAACCTGTAGTAAACACATATTAATTAAAGAAAAATAAAAATGACCGAATCTTAATTAAATAAAAATAAACATAAATTATAATTTATAAAATCAATAGAAAATAGATAAAACGCAAACATAATAAAAATTCAGTTATCTCTAAAAATATTAACCAACCTTATTTTTTCCCTTAGACTAACCCTAGGTTTTTAGGATTTAACACATTACGCGTGCAGCCAAAAATTGAAGAAAGAGACCGAGAGTCCCACTAAAACCCAAAGTGTTGCTGTTTAATGGAGCTTCTTCCTCGATATCTTTATCCTCGTCTTCTTCACCTTCCTCTTCGTCTCATGGCTTCTCGCTCTCCTTTCTTTCTACATTCTCCTTCTTTTCATTCCCTCGCCTCCTTTCCTCGTTATTCCATCTTCTTCCATCCCAGGTTTTTACTTTTCTTTTCTCTGGTTTCACCCATTTTTTTTTCATTGCTTAGTGGGAAAGAAGCAAAGTTGGGTTTTCGAAAGCTGAAAACAGAATGGGCATTTTGAACTTTATTCAGTTCTTACTTTAAATACTCAGAATTCACACAAGAGTTTTGTCTTTTGATTCAGCTTGAGAAGAAAAAGCTTGTTTTTTTTCTTCTTATTTATGATTTTACTGATAATGGGAAGATATTTCATTTTTCAAATATTTGTGTGACTTGTTAATACGGGTTTTGTTTTAATTTTTATGTTTCGTTTTCAATTTGTCACTGATTTTGCAGGACAAACTTTGCATTGAATAGCATTTGCAGGTTTCCAGTTCAACATGTACTTACTCCAAGGGCATTTATGGCCTTAGTTTCACAACCGAAGCTATTAGTGGAAGCAAAAGCTCAGCAGCTTATAACTCCGAGCAAATTCAGGTAATTTTGAAAGAAAGTAATATTTTTTTATGTTCTTTAATTTGGACTTGATGATGCCTTTACGTTGTTGTAGTTTTGGTTCTAAGGAATGTCTTGTAATATCATTAGGTTTTGGAAGGATTGGACCCTGTTAGAAAAAGACCCGGAATGTATATAGGAAGTACAGGTCCTCGTGGTTTGCACCACTTGGTAATTCATTTCTCCTTTTTTTCCCTTTTTTTTTGGATAATTTTGATAAAATTCATTGACACGTTTGATTTTACTTCTTCCTATTAGGTATACGAGATATTGGATAATGCTGTTGATGAGGCTCAAGCAGGTTTTGCATCACGAATAGATGTTATTTTACATTCAGATGGTTCTGTGAGCATAAGTGATAATGGCCGAGGAGTATGTAACTTCTGTTATTTTACTGCTAGAAATGCTGTTATTTAGTATTGTATTGTTGTGGAATGTGTTTTAAGATTTTCTTTCCTGTGAATTTAATTTTGGGGTGCAGCATAACTCTTTTTGTAGTCAGTATCTTTATATCACCGATTCATGCTCAGTACATTATCTTAAGATGTGAATTACACAAATGGTCGATAAGAATTTTCTTGTCATAATTTTCGTATATATGACCTAAACTTACTCATTGACCATACTGTGTTTCCAGTGCAGACCATTTCAATTGTTTTTCTTCATAATATTATGGATGAAAGCTATCTTTTATTTCTGTCTGCTATTAATGTGTTTTTCTGTTGCTTTTAATGTGGTAGCGCTTATGAATTGCAGATTCCAACTGATTTGCATCCTGTCACAAAGAAATCTGCCCTGGAAACAGTGTTGACGGTAAAAAAAAGCATAAACAACCATATAGTCCTCTTTTTTCATATTGAGGTTTCTGAGAATCTTCTTCATGAAAGTCGCATATATAAATAAAGCACTCTCCTTTGTCCAGTAGTTTTTTATGCGAAGTTTGTTCGCATGGCTAGGTCTTGCATATCTGATTTGCAGGAATGTTGAGACCGTGCTTTGGTATTTTTTTCCTTAGGGTGCTATGTGTATTTTTGCTTTCTTATAGTTCTCCGTTTCCATTTTTGTCTCATTGTATAACCTTCTAATCAATTGGAATGGCTTTAGACTTTCACTTAATATTTCTTTTTCCTAGATTGTCATAAAAGTACATCGTATATTTTTTGAAGGTATTGTGAGAATCAGAAATACACTATCTGGAATGTCTTCAAAATATTGAATCAAATTCTTTGCTTTTAGAAAATTTGCATGAATTGTATAATTGTAATAGTCTAATCTTGACGATTACTTTGAATGATGGAAATTTGAGTTAATTTCTACCAAAACTTATTTGTTTAATATTATTTTTTCCTAAATTTTCATAAAAATATATGGTATATTTGGTGAAGGAATTGTGAGAAATACAGCTTCCCGAAGGTTTTCAAAATATTCAATCAAATTCTTTGATTTTCGTAAATTTGCATGAATTGTATAACAAAAGTAGTATGATATTAATGGTTACTTTGACTGATGGAAATCTGAGTTGCATATTCTTCTTATCCTGCAGGTCTTACACGCAGGTGGCAAGTTTGGTGGTCTAAGTAGTGGTTATAGTGTCTCTGGTGGCTTGCATGGTGTGGGTTTATCTGTTGTTAATGCCTTATCTGAGGTATGAATAATTTTTTAAATTTTATAATTTCCTCATTTCTGGTTTTTTCTAGTTCTTTTTTATGGTTATATCAGTTGTCAAATGTTGGATAGGCCTAGTCTCTCATCTATGCTCTTAGACGATTTGGGTTCTGGAAAATGCCAAAGAAACCCCAAAAAGAGAAACAAAATAGAAGTTTTTTTTTCTTTGGGGGGTTGGGTGGGTGGAGGGGATGAAGTTAACTGCCAACTTTGTGATCAATTACAGAAATGGTGCTCATACATGAGAGCACAACTCTCTAATTAAAAGGCTAAAACAATGAAATCTGACAAAAATTTGGAAAAGATTAGAGGACACTTCTCCTTTATGTACTTATTGTCTTTTCATCACCTTGATTTATTATTTTCTTCTACTTTGGAGAAATGAATGATAGGCTGCTAACAGGGTGTCCAACATGGATCTTTTCTTTGTTTGTTTCATTTACATCATTTGAGTCTTATAATACTTGTAGATTGATGTACTCTTTTCCTCCTTCCAATGTCCGTTGTGACACCTTTCGGTATTTCGACGGTTACGAAGGGGTTTTTTAATGAGACCTCACCTATTTTATTAAAAAACTAAAATCCATTTACAGTGAAATTTGGAGCTTATGGCTGTACCATAATATCTATTTATCATACAAGATATATGTTTATTCTCTAAAATGTTTATTTACTGACAAAATCTGGTCTAATATTTCTCAGTGAATGCTTTTTGGGGAGTCGAAGATGACCCCAGGCATAGTCTCAATTGTACCTTGCTTTTGACTAACTTGGTTTATATTTGGGTCTCTTGGCTATGGGTCATCAACTTTACTTTTTCTCTTTTAATTTATTTATTAATTTTTTCTTTTGTTACTTCCTATGCCCTCAAACATGATATGTACTCTGCTCAGGTTATGATACAATGTAGTTTACACTTCATTTGCATTCATATTTTATGCATAAATCTTAATTTAGAACATCAATGTTTGTATTCAAGGGTGTATACGATATTTTGTTCTGGTGACAATTATTTCTTACCAAATCAAAATTAAGGTTTTGCCGGAGTTGATGATCACTTATTTTAAGTTGACCATCCCTTTTTTTGCAGGCATTAGAAGTCACTGTTTGGAGAGATGGAATGGAATACCAGCAAAAATATTCACGTGGGAAGCCTGTAACGACACTAACTTGTCATGTTCTTTCAACTGAATCAAGGGATCGTCAAGGGACGTGCATTCAGTTTTGGCCTGACAATAAAAGTATGCCTGGTTTTTTGAGCTCCTATTTATTTATAATAATCAGATTTTTATGATTTAATATATTTTTTTGGTTTAACTTAACACAGTATTTACTACGGCAATTGAGTTTGACTACAATACTCTTGCTGGACGAATTAGAGAACTTGCTTTCTTGAACCCTAAGGTAAATTCTTCACATTTAGTTAGGTCACTATGTTAGGATCAATCCCCATAACACTTTCCATTAATTTTTTGACCTTGCGTTGTATAGGCCAAAAACAAAATGGATATCATTTTAGGAATTTTCTGGTCTATCTACTTCCTTAATGTAGTATAAATCTGAGATTTTACCTTCTGGTGTAGTGGTGTTATAGCTTGCTTTTTCTAATTGATCGTTGCAGCTTACTATCACGCTTAGAAAAGAGGATAATGATCCGGAAAAGAGCCTTTATAATGAATATTTCTTTGCTGGTGGGCTGTTCGAATATGTGAAATGGCTAAATGCCGATAAGGTTTGTGCTTTTGTCTTTTCTTGTCTCTCTTCTCATTTCCATTGGTTCTTCCTTCTCTATTTATGTAATGTTCCTTGCTTCTCTCCTCCCTTTCTTTTCCTTTTTTTGCTTCTATGCTATTTTCTCACGTTCTCATCCTGTTATATATATATATATATATTTATATTTATTTATATAAAGTGATTCATGCAACACCAAAATGATGGTAATGGTTTGGATTGCAGCCATTATAGGTTTTGACACTTGCTAATAGGCAAGCCCATAATGATATATTTTATTCAGTCTGGTGAGCAGTGCATATGTTATACATGGATTTCCAATCTTTCAGCTTTAGAGGCTCCAATATAATAGGATAAAATCATGAATGAGACACTTGCATGATGGAAATTTTGTATTCCTGGACCTGCTTTTTTGTCCCAGAATGGGGATTCAAGTTATGGCTTGGAAACTAAGCTTTCTTTGGGATTAGTAATTTATTGTCTGCTGCAAAAATTACTGGTAAAATAAAAGTAGGTAAATGAGAAATCTAGATTTGCAGTTTGTCTGTGACATCTGCACAGAGTTGTATTTTTGCAAGTGTATTCTGGTTTTACAATCTAAAATGCTTGGATCTATATATGAAATTTTGCATTCCGATGATATTTTATATTGGTAACTGCTGGTTCTTTGATTCAGAAACCACTTCATGATGTGCTATGTTTCAGCAGACAAAAAGATGGAACCACAATTGATGTTGCTCTTCAGTGGTAAACTACTAACCACTTAGTATGATATTCACATGCATTCAAATTGTCCTTTTCATGATAAAGAAATATTATCTGTGCTGCCGTACATTTTAGACATTATAAATTCTGTTTATTTACCCTTGAAGAATTAGTGACACCTGACATTACTAAATTCATACCTTTCATGTATTTACTGGGGAGTTTATTTGATGGAATTTAGAATTGTTACATTTAATGGTGTTGGTACGAGTTTACGTCCATCCCTGGTCGGGTATAATTTCGTCTCGATTTCTCCCTTGTAGCCGTTACCCGAATTCGCGCAAGTGTGTCCACAACCCCCAAACTGACTTGACGAGGAATCCATTCTCGCGAACAAACACAATCCTTACACACACCTAGGAGCACCCCTTCCTGCATATCCATACAAGACCCGAATAGGTGGGTCGAGGTCCTACGAGGTACCCATTACTCGGAGTACCCTCCCAAAAGGAAAAAGATGTGTCTGTCAGGTTCGGTTCTTCTTAGTTGTGTTGGGTGCTTTGAAAATAATGGTTGGGTTTGGGACATTCAGTTAAGGAGGAACTTATGTGACTGGGAATTGGATCAGTGGATGTCATTAATGCTTTTGATTGATAATATTCGCCTGTCTGAATCAGTAGATGATTTCCTTGGGTGGTCGGGGAATGGTGATGGTTTGTTCTCTGTTAATTCATGCCGAATGGCTCTTTCAAGCAGAAATGGAGATAATTTTCAGTGGAAGAAGTGGGTTTGGTCTGGTTTGGTACCTCCTAGAGTGGAAACTTTCCTATGGCAGATTTCTCATAGGAAAGTGGCTGTTAGAGTGGAACTTAAGAAGACAGGAGTTAATCTGGAAAATGTCCAGTGTCCATTATATCATAATTTTGAGGAATCAATTCAACATCTTTTTGTATCTTGTTCGGTTGTAATGGAGCTGTGGAATAGATTCATAAAGTTTTGGGATATTTCTACAGTTTTGCTCCAAGATCCTGCTTCACTACTTTGTTCTTGGTCTTATATTAGGGAGTACTCTACCATCTGGAAGTTTATCCCTGGAGTAGTTTTCTGGTCACTATGGAAAGCGAGGAATTCGGTGGTATTTGAAAACTAGAATTTTGATAGCTCATCTCTGTTCTTTATAACCAAATTTAGGCTGGCTAAATGGTTTTTAGCTAAATTCCCTCTTGTTAATATTCAGGCTGATTTATTAATAGGGGATCCATCGCTTGCGGACAAAATCCATACTAAGCTATCTAAGAAGAAGAAGGTTATTTGTTGGTCTCCGCCCCCTCATGATTTCTTTAAATTCAATGTTGATGGGGCGGTGAGAGGGGATGGGCTGCAGGGAGGAATTGGAGGAGTTTTGAAAGATTCCAACTGCTCTATTTTAACCTCTTTCTCTATGGCTGTGGAAATTAATGTATTTTTTTCATCGGAGTGGGCAATGAAGGGAAGACTTATCCTTGAGAGTGATTGCAGGAAAGCAGTGGATTGGATCTTGATACCTATTTCTGCCCCAACGTTTTTTAGTTCCTTGGTTGAGGAAATTGGGGTCTATGTATCTGCTAGGGGTTTTATTATTAATTGGATTCCAAGGAGTTGTAATTGGGAAGCAGACAAGCTAGCAACAGAGGGGATTGGTTGAGGTGTTGTGTTATGTTGTTGTAGTGTTATGTATTTTATGTAGGGATGTTTATTATGTAAGCTGTATCTTATGTAATTATGGGTTATTAATAAAATGAGGCACTCTTTTCCTCCTTCCGCTAGTTGCCTCTTTCACAAGAGCCAACTAAAAGGGAGTTTTTTAATGAGGCCTCCTATTCCTATAAAAAAAAGTTGTGTTGGGCAGGTTCGACTAGAAATGCTATGCTTATTCAGGATTCAAAGAGATACCATACTGATCTGGTTTTTTTCGACTGTTCCTGATCCATCGAATAGAGTAGCACAATTTTTTTGATACGTAATTAACTTAACATAGTTACCCGTACCCGGCAGGGTACTTTTAAGATTCAACCTATCTACCCTTTATTCTAGCTCCGATTTAGTGTAACCTACAGTTTCAGATGTATTTGGTGTCTAATTTTCTATCATGTACTGTTTATGTATTATTGGTTTAATAATCCAAGTGATTTGGTTGGTTTGTTAAACTATACTAGGTGTTCGGATGCATATTCAGATACAATGTTGGGTTATGCCAATAGCATACGAACCATTGATGGTGGCACACATATAGAAGGCGTTAAAGCTTCATTGACTAGAACTCTCAATAACCTTGGAAAAAAGTCTAAGCTTGTCAAGGTATTTCTATTCATACTTTCTATTTTAGAAGTTTCTCTGTTCTTGCTCACCTTTTGTTGAATTATTTTATTTTTTCCTTTAGAACAGTTTTCTTCTTTGTTATGGTGACTACTAACTTGCATTATTTATCCCATATTCTAAGAAAAAGGATTTACAAGGACCATGTTTATTTTGAAATATTGAGCTGGTTCAAAATATTTCTATCAAAAAAAAAAAAAAAGCTGGTTCAAAATATTCTCTGAAAAGCTTTCATCATATAAACCTTCAACCACACCTTTTCATGCAGAATCACCTTTGTCCTGCTCCTTGTCAAAAAGCCATTTAAGTTGCAAATCTCTATTCATGTGCTTTTAAGGTCTAAGGAAAAAGTAGTTAAATCACTCTTTTCCGTCATAATTAAAGAACTTTAAATACTTTCAATGTGTTTCTGATGTTGTTGATTCAAGTTTAACCATTATTTTTCCCATGGATGGTTTGAAGTACTTGTGATCTATGCTATCTTGATCATCTTCTGTATCTCTCAGGATAAGGATATTAGCTTAAGTGGTGAACATGTAAGGGAGGGGCTGACATGCATTATTTCTGTGAAAGTTTCAAATCCAGAATTTGAAGGACAAACTAAGGTATTATTTGCATATCATGCATGTCATACTATTATTCTTGTATAGTGAATCTCTTGATACGTTGGATCCGATGCATGTCCTACATTGCTGTTATAATGACTTGATGAATTTTCATTTATCTCTAAAAGACAAGATTGGGAAATCCTGAGGTGCGGAAAATCGTTGATCAATCTGTTCAAGAATTTCTTACTGAATATTTGGAGTTGCATCCAGATGTACTTGATTCAATTCTTTCCAAGTCATTAAATGCTTTCAAGGTACCTTTTAGATATGTTATAAACTTTCTTTTGACTCTGTTATTGATTCACTAGTTATCTTGTCTAAGGGCTCTATGTCTGCTGGAACTAACTACATAACAATGATATTCTCATGGATGTTGTTTTGCAACCAGGCAGCTCTTGCAGCTAAGAGAGCAAGGGAATTAGTCCGGCAAAAGAGTGTGTTAAAGTCGTCATCACTTCCTGGAAAACTGGCTGATTGTTCATCCACAAATCCAGAAGAATCTGGTAAGTTTTGCTTTAGTTTAAAATATTATCCGACTTACATGGTACGTGAGCATTTGGATCATTATGAGGTTTTCTTTAATAGAAATTTTCCCATATTAATTGTGTTGTGGTTGTAGTTATATTTCTCCCTTGGTTCAACCATTTTGGAGTCTTCTTACTGGGCTCTGTATATGCTACTTATAGCAATTGTAAAATGTGTAAAGGTCACTTTTTGGGTTTAACCTGGTTTCAATTCTAAATGTTGTGTTTTAATGATGTTTTTTCCTGCAATTCCTTAATCAAGTAAAGGAAATAGCTTCTATTCTATTTTTAGTTCAGGGTAAAACGTTCTTCAAATCCTCTTCACTGAAGGTTTTTCTGTCATTATTTTCTTGCTCCTAACATCTTTACACGATTTGTTGCATATATACTTTTTATGAACTTTTTCCCTTTTGAATGGTTTTTGTACCATTCTATATTTTCAATATGAATATTGAGCACGAACCGAGTAATCTAAGTGGTAAAAGAATTGTTATTATTCCTTGAGATTCCGAGTTCGAGCACCAAGAATGTCAGAGGTGTGAGCGTTCAATGTCAAATGGTTGATAGTTATCTTTGAACAGATAATGTCTTGTACTTACCCCGGTTTAATAGAACAAAAAAGGAATATTGAGCAAAAGTTGAAGTTTATGAATATTTTTGCTGAGGTTATATTAAGGTATAATTTTTTGTTGCTTGAACTGTGGGAGGATTCTTAATGTGCAATTGCAAAAATAATAAGTAAAACTGAAAATTATTATTAAAAAAGGTATTCAGTTCTGCTATAACCACCGATATCCGAGCTATTGATCGACTAGTCTGGGTTGGGTATTAAAGAGCCCTATTATGAGGGTGACCCTCCCACAAAACTAGGATTTAATGGATTTGAACTCTGGACATGGTTTAATGGATCTAGCATCTCTTTCCACTAGATTAATTGTTTTATTTTATTTTAAATTTTATATAACTGTAATTGTACATCTTTATTGCAACTAAGCTATTTTCCTTTCCACACTGTCTAGATTTACTTTCTTGTTTCTGTCTTTCTATACCCTTCTAAGTTTCGAACTCTCTAGCCCATAAGTCATACCCTATCTTTTAATCAATGCTATTATGGGGTTTATACTGAGGGTAGATAGCAATACCTCTTTTTACTCTTTTATCTTATTTATTTTAATAATCATTAAATTTGACTTTCAAGATCTACTCTTAGATCTAAGGTTAGAGTTTCTGTCCTTACGTTTTTTTAATGCTCTCTTATTTATCTGTGCTTATAACGATGATGATAGTTTTTCTTAATTTCCTGGGGGGCTAATTGCTATATAAGTAAATAGGATGATTTTTCACTGATTGAAAGCTGGTATTCCAGATTTTAAAATTAGTTGGCAGAGAATAGAAATATGCCAGTTGAGGGATTATGTGTGACTCTATTTTTCATTGTCTGAATTCTACATTGTTCGTTCCTGTTGGCTTCAAAAGAAATGATAGTGCATTCTGATCTGCTGCGTATGAGCATCTAAAATTTATTATATGGTTTCATGCATATAGAGATTTTCATAGTTGAAGGAGACTCAGCTGGTGGCAGTGCTAAGCAAGGCCGTGATAGGCGCTTTCAGGTAATATTTCTCCGTGGTAGTTGGGTAGAATGGGTGTAATTTAGTTATCAGGCAATTTCTTGAAACATGTTGGAAAATTCTTTAGTTGTTTCTGGTATTAGGCTTCAATTAATCAATTATTTAAGCATTTCTTTTTTGGAGTTGATGGAACATGTTTTTTCTTGCAGAAACTAACTTTTAATGGTCATAGCTATTAATATGAAGAAAATATGTAGTGTGGTGGGAGAACTTTGCTTATGAAATCTGTCGTATGTGTTGGCAATAGGATAGTCATGATGCTTATAGGAGCAGATGCTATCCAATTGATGCTATCATGAGAGTGGTATTATTATGCAAATGTTTTCATCTGCTAACCAAGTTTTTTAATTTGCTATTATATCATTTTAGTACACATTTTTATAAATATTTTAAAAGTTTTCTGGAACATATGAAAATGGCAGTACTTTAAACTGAACCAATTGGTAGCTAATTGAAGTAAGTAGAAGACAGAAGTAATAATTTAGAAGAATGGGTAGGAATGGAAAGAGGAGAGAGAGATTTTTAATGTTCCTTGATGATTTTGAGTGCATCAAAAGGAAGTGCGTAGAAGAAAGTGAAGTAATAATATAGAATAGAACGAGTAGGAAAGGAAAAGATAATAGTTGTTGTCTAACAACAAAAGAATGAAGGGAAGAGGAAGGTACCATTGATTTTCTGCAAGTCCAAACAAAATCATCATCATTGTTGCTTGATAGCTGTTTGTTAAAATAACATTTCTGGTGGGACAAATTTAGTTTTTGAATATTTTTTATGGTCATAGCTTAGGCTATGCTTTATTTTCACCCAAGTCCTACTTTCTTTAAGTTATGTTATTACATGGTAAAAAGCATTTCAGCATAGCATTCTTTATATCATGTCTTCTCTAGCATGCTACCATAGTTATGTCTTTTTGTGGATTTTAATGTACCACAATGCAAATTACTCAAAATACATGATATGTTTTGTGGCATATGGTAATTCTAGAAGCTTAGGTGCTTTGTGGCATACGGTATTATTTTAAGATGGTTTAGGAAGTAGTCACTTAGTATGATTTTATACTTTAGTTAACCAAATGATATTTTACTGACTGATTAAATGGTGCCCTTTTATGCGTGGGTTTTTTATTCTGTGAACATTGGCATCTTATTTTACTGTTGTCGTTATTAGATTTATATCCGACATTTTAGTCTGAAAATGTGTTGTTGCAGGCTATCCTTCCCCTGAGGGGTAAAGTTTTGAATATTGAAAGGAAGGATGAGGCAGCAATGTACAAAAATGAAGAAATTCAGAACTTGATTCTTGGTCTTGGACTTGGGGTGAAGGTACTTATTTGTCGTTATTCTGCTCAATTTTTTTTATAAGAATAGCAGGTCTCATTAAAATAGACTCAATTTCATTTTTGAAGTTGTTGATAATATCATGTATTGTATCTTTTTGATCACAGGGAGAGGATTTTAAAATAGAAAACCTACGGTATCATAAGATCATTATCTTAACAGATGCTGATGTAGATGGCGCTCATATCCGAACACTGCTGCTGACATTTTTCTTCAGATATCAGGTACAGTGGTAAAAGTTGTCACAATTTTGTGGGTACAATGATAAAACAAATTGACATCCCTGTGATCTTTGCAGAGAGCCTTATTTGATGCAGGTTGCATTTATGTTGGTGTTCCACCTCTTTACAAGGTTTGTCGACGATTACACTGGATTCCGAGAATCTAATCTATTCGATAGTTTGCTTATATATTCTCTCTCTTGGTTTGCTACTCTTATCAGGTTGAAAGGGGAAAACAAGTACACTATTGTTATGATGATGCAGACCTTAAAAAGGCCCTGAGTTTGTTCCCACATAATGCATCTTACAACATTCAGAGATTCAAAGGCAAGGATAAAAATCTCCTTCTATCTCTTCCTTTTTGTATTATGTGATTAACGTTAATCTCTTAGTTGTGTGCTTTCTTCTTAATAATCTTTTTTTGTTCGACTTCGATGAAATTATTTTAATTTCGAAGTTTTCTTAATTGCATTTGTGTAGAGTTCATTACAATTCATTAAACCTCATGTCAAGATAGTTATCGGTAATTATAGAACTTTCTTTTTTACTTTTTGCATTAGCAAGAAAGTTGTCGAGAAGATCAAATTATACGACATAGTAGGGACAGACATGCACATTATATAGGAGTTCTTCCTCTTTCGGCACCGGGTTTTACTTTAATATTATACCGTAGGAAACTAAATACTTAACAGATGTGGAATGACACTGTAGGCTACTTGTGAACATCTTCACCGGGGGTCGTCAACCTAGCGTTAGGTTTAGGCAGGAAGAACAACATAGCTGAACCTGAGCTCCGATATCCATATAACCTAAAACCAATTGGCAATAGGTCGAGGGTTCAATTTTAATATAAGGCCACAGAATCTCAATACTCAACAGATATGGGATAACATTTAACAGTAAATATTTAAAAAAAAAACATGAAGATAGTTACATTTTGAGAATATAATGGAGTCACTAAAAAATAAAGAAAGCTGCAATATGCTTACATGCTATCTTTTCCTTTTTTTAGGCATGATACCAAAATTAGCCCCCAATGTTTACCAATATGGTCATCTTGGCTCCTATTCGTTTTTTTAGAGCATTTTGGGGCAAAAAGGCTCCTCAATGGATGGACTATTAATTAACAAATGGTTAAGGCTCCAAAATAGGGGCTCTTTTACCCTAAAATGAAATGTTGGTGGGTCAAAATGCTTAAGAATAAAAGAATATGGGTCAAAGTGACTATTTAGTTAAACGGTAGAGACCTTTTTGCCCTAAAATTAGATGTTGGGTGCCAAAAAATCTCAAAAAAAAAAAGAATAGGTTCCAAAATGACCATTTTGGTAAACGTTGGGGGGCTAATTTTGGCATTATGCCTTTTTTTAATAATAGATGCATAATATAGCAATATTAAACAATAATTTGAAATGAACACCCAGCTTTCATATATATATCCCATTTAGAAGTATGGTATTCAGCATTGATTGTATCTTTTAATTGGTTGCAATGCATGTGATGCAGGCTTGGGCGAGATGATGCCTGCTCAGCTGTGGGAAACAACGATGGACCCCGAACGAAGGCTATTGAAGCAATTAGTGGTTGAAGATGCAGCTGAATCTAATAGAGTGTTTTCATCCCTTATGGGTGCTCGGGTACGTAGGTTGCTTATCTCGTTCATCGATCGTTTATTTACGATGAATGAAGCACAACTATTAATGTTCTCTTTTGACGTTCACCAAAAGAGCACATACTGAGCCTATTAATGGTGGGTGTATTTCTTGCCCCACTCTTGTAAGCACGACCACCGTATGGAAATCCGGATTTCGTTGAGGCCGAAAGGATCTCCAAACAAACTGCAAAGTGCATCCTTTATTCGATTAATTTAGTCACATTTATCCATAGTAGCGATAACCTTAGATAATAAGCTACTTTTGTTGTGCTTTGCAGGTGGATGTAAGGAAGGAACTCATCCAGAATTCTGCAAGCCAGGTCAACCTTGATAAGCTGGACATTTAAGAATGGATCAGTGATGCATGGCATACAACATTTAAGCATGGATCAGTGCATTTGCATTGGTAAAGCTGTTGTTTTGATGGCATTTAGAGATGGGTAAGATTTTGGCAACCCTTTCTAATTTACCCATCCCAGGAAAGTTTCTCTATTTTAATTGGTTTTAAAGGGACAGAATCAATTTAGGTGATTTGGGAATACTGTAATTCTTGATTTGTTGTATAAATGTTGTATTTATAGATATACTCAAGTCCTTTTGTTTTATTTGAAAAGAATCATCATACTTCTAAAATGAAGCTATCAAGTCATCCATATTATTATTTAGGGTAAATGACACGTTTAGTACATAAAGTATCAATTTTGGTTATTTTAATATTTAAATGTATATTATTGAAAATCACATCTTTTTTTTTGAAAATAGTACTTTATTAATCAAAAAAGGAAGTACCACACTACTCAAAGTCTCGTTAAAAAACCTTCCTAACTCTAAGTGAAGAAAAAGAGTGCGTTTGAGCAGTGGAACAATGCAACCAAAAACTACTATCATATTCAACCAAACCCTTCTAAACAGCTCCCTATGAGCACAAAATAAACAAACCATCCATGCACTACAACCAGGAAAATCAACAACAAAAAAACCAAAAATCAAAGAAACACTTCAGCCAGGGGATATCCTGAAGCCAATTTAGCCAGCTGGTCTGCTGTCGCATTACGACCCCTTGGAATGTACTTCAGAACAAATTTTTCCCTATGAACAGACTTGGCAACCGGCCGAAGGACCTCTGCCCATTCCGGTGGAATAGACAATGGCTTTCTCACCCATTCACAATAGATTCAGTACATTCAACGCCGAGAGCAGCTGACTTATACCAAACTGAGCCAGTAAAAAAATTGACCGCATACTCTAAAGCCAAGATTTCAGCCTGCACCGGAGATGCTCCCCCAATTGGAGCCGAAAAGAAGCTAAACCATAACCCTCCTAGTCTCTAAGAATCCCACCAATTCCTCCTCCGCTTCCGCCAGCCTTCATAGAACCATCTACATTAAACTTTAAAGTTCCAACCGAAGGAGGAATCCAAGCCAAATGACTGGCCGAAGCTCTCAACCGGAGAGCAGAATCCTTTGCAACTGATAAATCAGCTGCCAAACTCTCCACACTAAAAGACTGAAGGAAATTAGCCTTCAGGAAGCAAGCTAAACGGTATTTGGTCACAAGTGCCAGCTGCAAACCATCAAACTTTTTGCCCTTAAAAACCGCTTCGTTCCTTAAAAGCCATATAGACTATAACAACGCCAAGGGCAACATACCCCAAGTTATTCCATACGACATTCTAAAGGGGGAGAATCACACTAAGTTTGTACAAAACCATACCTAAAGTTTAGTTTTTGTTTTATTTTGTACCTCACTTGTAAAAACTATAGTTTGTGTTTCATTTTAGTATCATGTTCAAAATTTAACGTTAGGTTTTGAAGAAATTAAAAGTTTAGGTATTAAACGCATTAAGTTTTTAACGGTGATGTGCTAAAATGAAATAAAAATTAAACATTAGGTATGAATTTAATTTTTTAAAAGTTTAGATACTAAAATAGGTAAAAATGACAGTCAGTTACTAAATTTGTAAGTTACCCTATTATGAAAACAAAATTATCTGCTACTCCCGCTTGGAGTATATGATGCTGCCCCCAGTGGCCGCAATCATCAGTAATCTCGTTGGTAGGGGAGAGATGAAGAAAATTAATTAAAATTAGGAAACAAAAGATTGTTGGAAATTTCAAGAACCTTAAAAAAAAAGTTACATTAAAAATTATCAAATTGGAGAAATTATTCAAACCACATAAGTTTGTAATCTTATAAACTTTCTTTAAAATTTAAAGGTAAACTACAAAATAGTTATTAATATGAAAGTTTTTTTTTCATACTAATGTTTTAAAAAGTAATAATTTGATTACTAATATTACCGGTTTATAACTTTTTAAGATAATTTACACATTTGGTAATTAAATTTTGCTTCTATTTTAATTAATGCTTTTAATTTTTTCAATTTACTCACTGAACTTACATTAACTTTCTAACGACATTATGAACCAACTTAATGAACCATTTTTTAATCTTTAAAATATGTTAAGGGAAAAAGAAAAAACAAATAAAAATTACCTAAAAGGAAATATGTTTTACCCTAGAAAACAATAAGAGATGTGCCATATATAAACCAAATTATGTTGGAAAACGAACTCATAAAATCTTAGAGACGTGAACTTATAAAATTTTAAATGAAAAATAAATGAAAAATAAAAATATATAAAAATTTAAAATTTTTAGAGTGATGACCACCCCACCAATACCCTCGGTCCATGTGTGATATTATTGTCGGCTTCAACCAATTAGGCTCACGATTGTCCAATGAAACACCTTATAGGTTAAAACAATGTATAAAAACACTTCAATCCCAAGAAAAATTCTTGTACACGGTCAATTCTCAGCTCCTACCTAGGACCATAACATCTTAGTTCCACTCCAATGAGGATCCATTGTTTTCAGTGGCACATAGCTAGGGGTGTGCGTTTGATTGAGTCGAGTTGAATCAAATAATTTTGAGTTATTCAAATTGACGAGTCTTATTTTACAACTTGAAGTTAATTCAAATCAGAAAAAAATCGATTTTTCGAGTTGATTCGAGTGTTGCTCACCCCTACACACAGCTACTACCTCATACCAACCTACAGGCCAGGGTATTATGCACTTCGACCTATTGGGCCTCATGGTTTTATCACAAAAAGTGCTTCACATGTTAAGAGTGTTCTAAACCAAATCTATCCTACAACTAGTATGGGATTCATGACTCCTCTTTAAGCATGATGTGATGAATCTGGTTCAGCAAGAATATGAGCAAACTCCTATATATATATGTTCTAGAGAATCGAGTGCACAAACCACAGCAAGAATAAGGGAGCTATCAAGATAACTTTTGATGTTTCTCTTAATCTCAAGTTCTGCATGAGTGAGGCTGTTCTAAAAGGAGCTATGCTCTGATACTGAGTGCAGTTGAGGCCATTGCAGCTGACAAAAATGCACTTGAATTTTGAGAAGGGGAGACCTCAAGTTTTATTAATCTGCCTAACAATGACCTCCGGGATCCATCTTCAACCGGAAATGTAATGCAAGAGGCAAGAAATAGGATGGTGCAATGAATAAATTATGAAAATATATCTCTTTTCTCCGGTAATAAGGTTAACATTATAAAGTACAGAAGTCGAATAAAAGGAGCAAAAAACAAGAACCTAAACTAGTGGTTAAATAAGTGACAACGCTTATAGAGGGTTGGAAATACATACAGCTGCTGCATTAGCACTTGTTATTTGTAGGAACGTGTCTTAAATAATTGCCCAGAACTTTTTTCTGCAAATTAGCACAGTTTCTCTTTGCATCATCTTGTTTTCCAGAATATGTGATTCTACCTCCCAAAGGAATTTTGGAGCAAGATCTTGAATTCTTGATGTAATAGAATCCTCATCTCTAATTATAACAAATCCCTGACACAAAAATGTAGGAGAGTTGAAATCACAATTAGGAGCTTGGCACATAGACTAAGTAACCGGCATAGCAGAGATTATGTTAGATGTCAGCCGCCATCCACTGCGTTAGATATGGTAACCGGAACATGGAACATGCAAGCCAAAAAAAAGTAGCATAAATCTTTACTTTGGGTCTCATCAACAACCTGAGTAGCTCGGGTATGTAGCTGAGGGTGGATAAAAGGAAGGAAGAAAAAAAGAATGAAATAGAGAATGAACAAATATCAGACAAAAAAGGCTGAAATTGAGGAACTCTGGTGAGAGAGAAATGTAAGAAACAACGAATTTACTGAAAAGACGAGCCACGAGCGGAAGCATCTGTATTTGGATATCAAATCTAAATTCAATACACGTCATCTTACTAACTGGAAGCTACTAGCAACTAAAATAAAAAAGAAAACACTACACAACTACCTGACCAAAATGCTTGGTAAGTAACTGATACTAGCCAATTTAAATAGCCAAAACACATAAAACATCAATGTTCACTACAAATGAGCACGTAAAAGAAACATTTAATTAGTCCCTAATCTATGAATATTTTTCCCATGCCCTGTATCCATAACATTCAGTGAAACTGTCTAATGCCAAACATGTAGAGGTTCGACAATGTACATGTCAGCATTAATTGAAATAGATCAAATTTGAATAACAATTTCAATAATTTCCCAAAGATTTAGGCACTTAAAACAGAAAAAAAAATGTAAAAAAATATAGATTATACTTCTAAAGTGGAAGCTAATAATACTAACTCATGGACTTGTAAATGAATGATTCAAAATCAGAACAGTCTGAAAATGAACCAACAGCCTGAAATATCATGTAACCATCTCAATGGGAGCAAGTACCTGAGGTCTTAAAACACGGTCCATCTCAAGCATGATATCCTCAAGCAGGCAATGTTCTCCATTATTTCCATATTGCGAGAAAATATGGTTGGCATGCAGTAAATCATATGTGCGTGGATATGTTGAAAATGGTTCACACCTGAAAAATATATGCGTATCAGTGGTTACTAGTTAGCTAAAGAAGGTGTTGGTTGACTGGGTAGTTATATTGAGGATGTTTTTTGGTATTCTTAGGGGATAGTCTTTTCTATTGGAATTCGAAGGCTTTTTGTTGTATGAGTTTTATATCAATAAAATGAGGCACTCTTGTCCTCCTTCCGCTAGTTGTTCCTTACCTCTTGGAAAGGATCAATTATGAAGGGTTTTTTTAATGAGACCTCCAACTTTTATAAAAAAAAGATCTAAAATAGCCAACATGAACCTATAGAGATTTGCAATAGAGTGAGAAATGATGTAAAATCTTTCTTACCAATCATGAAAAGCACCAATTAGACCCCTGTCATAAATTGCAGATAAGGTATTTTGCATGCTTGAAGGGACTACATTCATTACCCAAACAGGATATTCATTCAAAGCGGCAGAAAAACCACCACAAAAGGCATTCATGTCCATCACGTTCCGTATATCGTTCTTGCTAACATTCATCAGCTTCCAGTAATCGTGAACTTGTTCTTGCCAGAAATTGGAATCCAAGCTAAATTCTTCTCTACTGATGCCTGTATCAATATATGAAATAATTATGTTGGATAAAATACCATCTCCCAGTGTCTATGATATATTAGTAATATGCCCCTAAAAATAAGTTGAAATCTTGCATTATGTGGTCTAGTGCAAACCTTCCAATTTCATAAGGCTGTTGGACAGGGTCCTCCTGCAGTTGCTGAACTGTTGGCAATTAAAAGGGGTTTGATGCTTTTTATAGATTCTATATGGTGTAATAAAGGGAGACTAATTTTAGAATGTGATTGCCTATCTGTGGTAAATTGGATCGAAAACCAGGGTGGCTGTCCTAATTCCTTGAGTCTTATGTTGAATGAGATTATTTTGTTAATTAGGGATAGGGATGTGGTTGTTAGGCATATTTCCAGAGGGGCCAATTGGGAGGCAGATAAATTGGCGAAAGAGGGAATTGGATGAGTGGGGTTATGAAGGGGGTTTTTAATAAGGTCTCCCATTTCTATAAAAAAAAATCCTTCTTGTTTACTAAAAAATTTATTAGAAATTTTATATTGTTGTACTCTAACAGCGTAGGGAGTCCTTTGTTAGAGACGATTATATAACTCGGACTTTGGTATTGTTTCAGGATATGGGTATGTATACAAGTTTGAGACACGTCAATCAACTTGAATCTATGACACAAGAATACAATTAAAAGCAAAAAGAGAATAGTTACGGTTCAAAATTTTATGTTCAATAATTATGCATGGTATATAAAATTGACTATTAAGCACTTTTTCCCTAAATGTTTGACCATTCGTTTAATAAAGTTCTGAACTATTATAAGCTGTAATATATTAAAATTAGATTTTAGACAGAATGAATCTTAATTTTAGACAAATGCAAGCTGAACTTACCGATTCTACTGAGGCTCTCCGAATAAACTGAAAGGCGCTGAGGCCTAGGAGGGAGCTTCTGAGTAGTTGCATCTACTAGTCGTATACAATTCATTAGAGGAGTCTCCCATGATGGTTTAGTCTCATCCACAGCATCACAAATATCAATAAGTTTCAACACTGCATTATGCTGAAGGCATGACGGATTTTCATCTTTGATCCAGACGGCAGTCTGAACCTTTCGAGAAACAAGTTTCCAGCACATTGCTGTGGTCAGATCAACCAATTTGTTCCAAATTATTGGATAATCTTTATCCTTTCTATAAGCAGGCGGAGCCGAATAGACAAAATATCCTTTAGGTCGCAAGAGACGGCTCACTTCCTTGAGTAAAATACCACCTAAGGAAGCAATATGATACAGATAGAAATTAGGAAACTCAAATCAGAGTAGAATAATCTACAGAAAAGCTAACAATGTGATATTTGAAACCTAGAGTTTCAAATACATCCTTTATAGATTCAAAGCATATATTTTAATAGGGTTAATAGGCTCTTGGTACCTGACCTTGGCTTCTCTCTAGGTCCAAATTGGTACCCAAACTTTTCTAAAAGGTTCAAGTTGGTACTTAGTAAATTTGTTCAATTCGGACAGAATGGTCAAGTAGATCAAGTAATGTTCAGACTTACAAATGCTAGTTACCTTTTTCTAACCACTTGAGTTCTGGAAGGAGTGCTCGAGTCTTTAGTATATTCGTTCAATTTGAAAGAAGAAAAAGTCACAATAATCTTAAATAAAAGGGAGAAAATTACAGACATACACGGCTGGGAAATATTAAATCCATAGGTGGAAATTTATACTACAGATTTGGAAATTTATACTACAGATTCGAAAAGGAACTTGCTAGGTGCAATGATAAAGAACCTTTCCAAACTATCTAATCAGATAGCAAATGATTCTAATCACTGTTGATTACATGAGTGACTACCAACAGGGTAATGACCTTATTTCTATATTGTGATTATTATCCAGAATGGATTTTCAGATAGCAAGATCGTTCAAAAGTTATATTTATCCAATATATGAACATTTTGGTCACGAGCAGAAACAAAAATTAACTTGAATATGAAGTGTGCAGTAGAGAGCAGAAGGGTACCATTCTCATGCCAATCAATACGACATCTAGAACAGTGAACCATCTCAAAAGAGTTACTTGGATATGGCAACTGTTTTGTGGATATGGCAGAGATCATTGCATCAATTCCTCGCTCTAAAGCGAACTGAATCTGATTTTCATGACCATCTTTGGGTGCAAAGGACATCGTTTGTATATCCAAGGGAAGAAGATATGCAGAGAAGCTGGCCACTCCACATCCAACATCGAGAACTTGAACTACCCCTGCTGAACGCAGGTCACCTGTTTCGTCAGTTATCATATTTCCTAGCCTGGATTTCCAACAACAAGCAGGAATATTGCCAAAAAGAATCAATAATATCTCGTGGAACTAAAAAAAGTGCTTACAAACATGTTAAAAGAAATTGTCAAATTCAGGTCAAATCCTAAAGCATGGACAATAAATATGGATAAACTAGATAATATAATTCCTACATAAAATCCACTCGTTAACAGTACAACACAACACCCTCAATTTTCAAGTCAGTTAATGATTCAAGGTGTAAATGGACAATTCAATTCCTCGTGGACCACAATAAATAATACTATTTGGTGTCCTGACATTGGTACAAAAATCAAAGTCGTCTTAATCTCAATCTGAATAAGCTTAGCTACACAAATCCCTTTTCTCCAGAAAAAAAAAAGAAAAACTAAGCAGTCAAATATATCCTAATGAAACATAAAAATACATATCACTAGCTACCAGAATGATTCAAAGGCAAGAACATTCATGCATACTTAAATCAGTAATAATTATCTTGTAATTCTGAGTTCTAACAGGATCAGAAAGGGATGCAAGGAAGGTTATGCCCTAAGAGTAGACTTGTATTACCCGTTACAGCCCCTGCCCACTTTTACACCAAGGCTACAAATGTTCCTTGACAAAAGCCATGAATTTTACTGTAATTCACTCTTATTGAACGTGTAGGAAACTTACAATTATATATACAAGCCTAGGCCTTATCTTAGGTAACTACTAAACTAGGTAAGAGACTAATTCTAATAATAAAAACAATCCCTTAGATTTAGGGATACTAACTAAATAGAATATTTACAAATCCAACTCAATATCCATAACTTAGGTAACTAATCTCTGACACTCCCCCTCAAGCTGGGAGCATAGATATCTTCCATCTTTAGGTTGCCTGTTAACTTCTGAAAATAGTAAGTGGCTGAAATCTTGCTCTTGATTTCATAAATCTGGGCAGCATCTCGAACCTTTGAATAAGTTTGTTTTACAGCCTCCCATATCTCCTAGGTTGTTTCAAGAAACATGCAAATGTCACTAATTTCAGGCACCATGGAATTCCACAACCAAGACATGACCAATGAGTATTGTTCATCCAAGCCTCAAATCTAGGATCTCCTTCCTTAGGACCCATTCTGAAGAGATGACTAAGTTTACCTCTCCCTTTTAGGAAAGTCCAAACCAATTGTGACCACTTAAGGTAGTTTTTTTCCATTCAATCTATAGGCGACTTATATGTTTTGTAAGTCACTTATCCAATTAGAGTGACTTCCCTCACCCATTGTGCCTCATTGAGCAATTTTTGTACTGTTGTAATCACCCGTATCGTCTATATTTTGTTGATCAGGAGCTATATTCTCTTAAGAAATAATAAGAACTAAGAAAAAAAAGGCTCAACAAGAAGATTAAGACCCAAAAACGAGTAGCTCTGATACCATGAAAAAAACCATGAATTTTACTGTAATTCACTCTTATTGAACGTGTAGCAAACTTACAATTATATATACAAGCCTAGATTCTATCCTAGGTAACTTCTAAACTAGGTAAGAGACTAATTCTAGTAATAAAAACAATCCCTTAGATTTAGGGATACTAACTAAATAGAATATTTACAAATCCAACTCAATCTCTTTAACTTAGGTACCAATCTTTGACATTCCTCAATTCCCAAAAATGATTTGCGAACAAGAGTTTTTTCTGATTGTTCCAGATATGAATAGAAGAGTTGTTGGTTGGGAAAATTGTATCTCTAATTTCGTCTAGGGAGATTATTGTTAGGCATATTTCCAGGAGTTGTAATTGGGAGGCAAATTCTTTGGCTAAACAGGGGATTGGATGATTTTTGTTTGGGTTTTGTTTCTAAGGTGTTTGTGCAGGGAGTCTGTTTCTGTTGCTGGTGTTTTTGGTGTATTCTTTTACCCTGATATACAAGTTTGCATTATTAATAAATCGAGGCACTCTTTTCCTCCTTCCGCTGATTAAGGAACACCGTTTTGGTGGTCCGTTAATCATGAGGGGTTTTTTAATGAGGCCTCCCCTTCCTATCAAAAAAAAATTAGAAGAGTTGTGTATGGCAAGAGGAGTAATTTGTATCCTTTATGGAAGAGTAACCCAAAGGAAACAGGCAGAGACTCTAACGATAGTCTTTGCAGATTTCCCCAAAAGTGGCATATTTAAATTGTTTTTTGCATTGACAAAGCCACCAGAACCCATATAGAAGAGGTGTTCAATAGACTTATAACCAAAATATATATGATTTTCCAACATAGTCAACACTGAATAGGATAAACAACCAAAACTTGATTTAATGACTGGTACCAAAGAGATAAGGTCAAAGGTTCAAAAACCTACCTCCGTCCAAACCTCAGTAAAATGTAACAAAAAAAAACAAGGGGGCAACAACTAGTTACTAGAAACCCAAATACAAAGCCACAATCTGAGAACTGAGAGATGGGAGAAAGTGTTCATCTAATTATTTCACCATATGTTTTAAATTGCAATTCACATCTATATCTTCTTCCCATTTCACTAGAACAATTTTTTGAATATGTTTTCTTACGTACTGATCAGACTTCCACTTTTTACATGAGAATCACTTTGGAGGCCATTGTACTATAAAAAGAAGACCACCAGCAAAATGGAAGTCCAGCCAAAACTTCCCCAATGCTACACTAAATAGTTTCTATTTTTATAATAAGTGATATCTAAGAAAAATAAAAACAAGAAAGGGATAACTAGTTACTAGAAACCCAAATACAGAGACAAATCTGAGAACTGAGAGTTGGGAGAAACTATTGATCTAATTATTTCATCATATGATCTAAATCAATTGCAGTTCACATCTATATCTTCTTCCCATTTCATTAGAACAATTTTTTGAATATGTTTTCTTACGTATCAATCAAACTTCCCACTTTTTAAATGAGAATTACTTTGCAGGTATTGCACTATAAAAAGAAGAAAACCAGCAAGATGGAAGTCCATCCAAAATTTCACCAATGCTACACTAAATAGTTTCTACTTTTTATAATATGTTAAAATAATTTGAGAAGTAATACCAAATTTTGTTAAGAAAAAGCCTACCTATCTCAAATCAATTGCAAGAAATATGTAGACTATTTATGAAATAATGTCAATGTCCATACCTTTGAATGTATTCAGCTGCGCCATGCTTGAAATGAGTGCCACCACCTGGAAACCACCACAGCTGATTTTTCTCATGCACCCAGTTTTGTCCTCCCTTAACTTCAGCTAGATGTGTATGATTCACATTGCTTCGCCAGACATAATCCCTGCTCACTGGCCACTTTATGGGAATTTTATAATCTTCTGGTGGTGGCACCAAACAAAATAAACGCTTTTGAAGTGGAGGACAGTGCCTCTCTAGCTCTTCACTTTTGGAAAGATTCAAGTTTTGAGCCAATTGCTTCACATAAGGGATGTCATGACAAGGGATATACTCATTAAACTTCAATGGACATATATTCATCCCATTTGCTGGGACTACAAGTGGTGATTCTCGATAAGTAAGAGAAACTGTGTTAATAAATGTAGATATAACTGCAAACGTAGAAAGATAAACCCATGTCAGTGCCGAGAAAAGGTTTAAAATTTTCAGCAACATAGCTCAAAACCTTGTATGCTATTAACAGGGTAAATGAGGACCTTACAAAAGGCTAAAATTAGGTAAATCACTGAATCCATATACTTCCACTTAATAAACAAAACCTTACACGTTTTCTTGTTTTAAAATATGAGGCATAGGATGTTACAAATATAGCATGCATTTATGGTTTTAATTGACACCAGAAATTACAGTAGCATATCAGTAAAGACGTTGAAATTCAAATGGTCTCCCACAGTGAACCTAGTGCTCTACACCATGTAGATTAGCAGATAGTTGAGCTTGACTAATTTTCTTAGCGACATTTTAAGATTTAATTCTCTCCATTCTCCTTTATAAGGGTAAGAAGCTAATTTAGATACCGAACTATGCCTATAAGTTCCAACGTGACACTTCAGCTAGACCTACTGTTTGGATCATTAACAACAGTTTGATATATACATGGGCATGCCTATAAACAATCCAATGGATTTTAGTGATCAAAGGTCATAATCATCATCATCTCATAATGCAAACTGAACGAATCTAACCAAGCCAATGTAGCAGGAGTTTGCACATCAACATTCAAGCCTATCAAACTTCAATCCGCATTATGGATTCTAAAAAATAGAGGGGGAAAAACAAAAAATCACAAACGTAAGCAATCCTTCCATAGAAATTGCCATCTTATGTGACTTCACCCAACAAAACAGACCCTACAAGCTGTAACTTAACTATGAAAATATTGCCCTTTTTCTTCAGCTTCAACTTTTGGGGTAGTTCTGCAGTAGCCTAAAATTTAAGGCTAAAAAAGGGCAGCAATTGGGCAAGACCGAAAATATTATCACAAGCTTATGTTAGAGGCAATCTGAAATGTTACCTTCCTCATAATAACATTTTGGGTTTTTCGGTTGCAACCAAAAATGTCAACTTATTCGTAATATTCTCGGTTGACAACTTAAAATGTTACCTTCTTACTAACATTTGCTATTTCATCCATCCAGTATATAATTTATAAAAAAAAGCAGCATGCTTCCTTTCAGTTTAAGCTAGCAATAAAAGAAAAAAAGAAAACCACACCAAATAGCACAAAAACAAATAATATTAAAAGTAATTGCTTTGTACGAGGCATTGAATTGGAAGTGGGTATGAACCGTTTTCAAGAGAACGGTGAACTTAATAGTAAAGATCGAAAGGTACCAGGCGAAGACGAAGACGAAGATGCGGGTGAGGAAGAAGATTCAGAAACTTGAGAGACGTAAATGGGAGCATTGTTGCCGAAAAGATTGCCGACGAAGAAAGATCCAAACATCAAAAGCAATGCCACCATTATCATCTGCCCTGATCTCGAATCAAACGCCGAGCCCAGCGCGAAGCCTCCCATTTCATCCCCTGTGCCTGCTCCTCTTACTTTAGCTTCGTTTTTCTATACGGAGAAGCTTGAAAATTCAGATCTATATTCCCTTGAGCTTCAGCTAGGAGTTCAGAATAAACCCTGCCTCAATTCCTTCTAAAGAGTAAAAATGCACGTGAGAAAAAAAATCAAGGGTGAATTACAAATTTCATTACTAAACTTTAATCTCTCTCTTATTTTACTCACTAAACTTTAATTTTTTTCAATTTTCTTACTAAACTTAACAATTAGGTTTTTTGTCACTACACCATTAAATAGTTAACAGCGTTTAAAGACGAATTTTAAAAAAATTAACTTAGATGACTTCATTTTGTATCTATATATAAGCTCATTTATGATGTTGTTAGTGAAAAACGGTTGAGTGACAAAAAAAATCTTACTATATTAAGTTTAGTAAGAAAATTGAAAAGATTTAAAGTAAAGTGAGTAAAATAGGATATATACTAAAGTTTAATTGCAAATTTGTAATTTACCCTAAAAACAAAAGTGGACTGTCAATTTTCTTCAGCAAACAAAAACTATTTAGGGTAAACTATCCTGATGATCACTTGGTATTTAGTGTGCTTCCATTTTGGTCACCAAACCTTTTAACTTGCATTATAGTCACCAAACTTTTAATCTTTATTAAACATATATCATTAAGAATATATTGTTATTAGTTATATGGGATGGCAATTTAACTTGAATTTGATGGGTTTTGACCCAATCTGATTTGATAGGATCATATATTTTTTTAAATCGAGTTCGGGTTGGGTATGGTTTCGGGTGGAGAGTGAAAAACTCCGATCCGACCCAAAGATAATAATGTAATTTATTTAAAAAAATTAATTAAGTTATTATTTTATACTGGTAGGATTGAATCAGATTTATACTATAAAAATTTGGGTCAGATCAGAGTCAGATATAAGATATATATTTTCGAGTCGAGTTCGAGTGATAGTGTAGATGAGTTTCAATTCTTCTGTTCTTTTGTCCAAATCCAAATTATTGAAAGCACGTGCTGTTAGAAACTTTCTACCGTGTCAAGACCAAAAATATATTTGATTATATTCATGTACTCATATGGTATCATCATTTCATAATCGAATTTATAATATAAAGTCCCATGATTATATATTTACATGGTTAAGCAACTAGGTTTGTACAGTACGTACGCTATCAATAATTATGAAAGATCTTAAACAGATAATATCCTATAATCATCCTGAATTGTCTAGAAAATATCCTTTATTTTTTATTTAATCTCGTTCATTTTATGATTTATACTCAAAATTTATAATTATATCATATTTACAGTTCGAACATACATTATCACGAATAATGTATGTTCTAACAATAAAGGTGATACTAAGAGGTTCATATATATTTTATTTGTTGGTATGCTCTGCTTTTCTTGATATCATGTAGATTGAACGGCCAACTCAAAATTCAATTACACTGTACAATCACCCTTAAAAATGACATTCAACAAGTTTTAATTTGGAATCCAAGTCCTTGAAGTCTCTTCTATTTTCGAAATGCAGACATTTAGTGATAAAAATTAAAATGTTGTACATCGATGAAGGCCAATAAATTCTTGGGTAAATTGCGTGTTTAGTATCTAAATTATCAGTTTCGATCCATTTTAGTACATAACTTTTAATTTTTTTCAAAACCATATCTAAAATTTAGTTTATGTTTCATTTTAATACTCCACTGTTAAAAACTTTAGTTTTTGTTTCATTTTAGCACCCGTTCAAAATTTAAGTTAATTTTGAAAAAATTGAAAGTTTATGTACTAAAATGGATCAAAACTGATAGTTCAAGTACTAAACGCATTAAGTTTTTAACAGTGAGGTACTAAAATGAAATGAAAACCAAACGTTAGATATGCTTTTGAAAAAATTAAAATTTTAAGTACTAAAATTGATAGTTTAAACATTAAATGCGTAGTTTATCCTAAATTCTTATTCCACATCACCACAATTTGAACCAAAGCAAATTGGTTTATAGAGCCATGATAAAGTTTGTAAAATACATTAACTATGCACGGACCGACACATAATTTTTTGCTAATGGGTGAACTTATAATATTTTAAGAGATACTAAAATAAATTATCAATAAAAAAAATATATCTAAAATATACACGATAATACATAAACAAGTGGTGGCATACTAATTACAAAATCCTTGCCAACCACCTTCACACTCTTAACACAAATGAGACCCACCGTTGTAATATTGAGATTGGATGACATACTCACTCTACACACCCATTAAAGGAAGGTATAATATCAAAATTAACCCTCAATGCTTATTAAGATAATCATTTTTGTTCATATTCTTTTTTTTTTCAGAATATTTTGACCCCCAAACATTTCATTTTAAGGTAAAAATACCCTAACATTTGACTAAATAGTCACTTTGACCCTTATTCTTTTATTCTGAAATATTTTAACCCCGACATTTCATTTTAGGATAAAAAAACCCTATTTTGGAGCATTAATCGTTTGTTAACTAATGATGTCCATCAATCGAGGGGCATTTTTGCTCCAAAATGAAATGTTGAGAGCCAAAATGCTCCAAAAAAGAATAGAGCCAAAATGATCATTTTAATTAATATTAAGGGCTAATTTTTGGCATTATGCCTTAAAAGGAATACCAGACAATGTTGCAAACAAGTGAGAAATATAGGGGAGACAGTAAGAGGAAATATATGGCTGAAAATCAAAGTGTGATAAGAGCAACAGTAAGGAGATCAAGAAGAACACTGATAGAAGACCTAACCCAAAATTACGAAAAGAAGATAGATCAAGAACAAGGACAAGAAACCTAAACATATGGCAGTAAGATGAGCAGAAAAGGTGACAAAGAAATGAGATGTACTAAGATAAGAAACAAATATAGCACATATTGTTGATAGAGAAAGAACAAAAAGTGTATGTTGAATTGGTATTTTAGTTTAGGGTTATCTGTTATTGCCTCTTCTCATTGTCACTAATAATCTTCCCACGAAAAGCATCATTCTGCACCTTGAGTACCTTATTTTCAGTTCTTAGTTCTGCATTTTCCTCCACAAGCTGTGTTAGATTACTGTTAAGACCGACATTTTCCTCAATGCAGTATTTTCATCTTTGGGCTTCTCGTTTTCAAGCCGCACCGGATCAGCCTCCAATAAAAACAACCATGTTAAAAGTCTATACCATCATAGTTTCATATTTAAGCTCTAACATGTAAGGGAGTAGTAGTTTGTACTCAATTCTTATTTGAAAAAAAAAAAGAAAAAATACATTTCTAGTCCTAATTTAATAAATATTTTACAAGTTCATTTGATCTATTAGTAAATTTATCAGCTGAAGTAACATTTGACTCATGACACCAACTTAATCTAACACATTGTAAATAGTAGAAATACTAAATTTAAGAGAATCCATTCTAATGTCACTAGTAACGTATGTTTCTCAGATGTTTGAGGATCATCTAATTCATGACATCAACTCAGACACATTATGAGTGGTATAAATGCTTAAGTTAAACCATCCTCATATATGGTTGACTGTATAAGGGTATTTCTCCTACACTGATGCATTCATTTCTTTCTAATTGTCTTTATATATTTGGAGTTAGACCTCAATCCTCATGTCTAATAGATAAATGTTTCCCCTAAGTACTCTAATAAAAATGAAGAGTTGTAACAACATAGCTAGCATTTTAAGATAGTACTTCAAAAGTCTAATAATATATTTTCTTACAATTACAACCACTAAGGAGAACTAACCATTGATTGAAAAAAGGAAACAAAAAATTGGCAAATATACTAAGAGTACGGATGTAAATGAACAAAACTACTCGTGAACCGTTCATATATTACTTGTTTTTGTTGGTTCATTAAGCTAAACAAACACAAACGAGTAATAAAAAAATTATGTTCATTTATGAAACATACGAGTTTTAAACAAGATACCAAACACAACATCAATATCAAGTCTTTGGACAGTAATATTAACAGTAAACGATACTCTTGTTGTAGTTATCAAACATTGACAATAAGTTATGTCGAACAATAGACTAATATTTGGACTAATGTAATACTCATATAAAACACCTTATAATTGTCACATATTATTACCACAAGTGTAACATCCTCAATACCGGGTTAGTGACCAAATTGTAAAGTTTTAGAAATTGGTGATTAAAGTAGGATAATTGAATAGTTCAATGATTTATTGGAAATATGATGAAGGTTATTTAGTAATTATGGAATGAATTAAAGGGTAAAATGGTCAATTGACAAGTAAGATTTTTATATTTCTTTTATAAGATAAGGAACCACGTGGAAAAGGAGAATTATCCAGAGTTTTCTTTCTTCTTCTTCCTCCTCCCGTATCTCCAAGCTCAAAGGTGAGTTTATTTGTTTATGGATTAATTGTTGATTTTAAGGTTATGTTTTGATTATTAGATGATAACTAAGCTTAAGGAAAGCTTAAGTTATCTTAAAATCAAAGTATGATGGAGTTAGGAGGGATTAAAGATTTGGGGTTCTTGGGTGAAATCTTAAAATAGAGTTCATTACTCAAATTGGAAGATAAATTTGACTTGTCAAGGGTTAAATTAAGAGATATGAAGTGATAAAATGAGTTTTGAAACATGTTGAAAATCTGGTATAATTCTTGAAGTTAATAAAGAGGAGAGGATATTAAGGTTCAAGAAGAGATAAATGAGTTTGAATAGGAGTAAGTAAGTTAAGAATACGAAATGGAATGATATATGAAGTAATTAAGTTGAAAAAAGGGGATTTTCGGGCATAAATTGGATTTCTGGGCTATGTGCATAGATGCACATTCAAGGTGCACCGATGCATCAAGGGTAAATTTCCAGAAATTGTTCAGTGTATATCGATGCACAAGAAGTGTATCGATGCACCCTTAAAAATGGAAACATCGAATGCAATTTATGCATCGATGCATAAGGAATGCATCGATGTACTTCAAGGGAAATAGAATTATACCTTTCTTTTGGTCTACAAAATGATAGATTGGAGTATATCAATTGGATACTGATATGTATCAATGTATGATCATATAGATATCGAGCACGAAGAAGTCCCAGAACG